ACACTGGACGATATACCCGATAAATGAAATGACGTGGATAGTTTTTAATTATCGTGCGATTAATTGATTTATTGATTATCGCAACAGGTCTAGGTACACCTTGGGCGGGTCGCCAGTTTAGAGAAGCCAGTTAACCTAACAGTCATGTTTTTGGACTGTGGGAGGAAGCCGGAGTACCTGGAGAGAAACCACACATGCTCAGGGAGAACATGCAAACTCCTTGCAGAAAGGCCGGGAATCCAACCCAGAACTTTCTTGCTGCAAGGCAGCAGTGCTACCCACTGCTCCACTGAGCATTTAATACTCAATACTTAAACGTATTAAATGAACTTCTGCAGAATTAACCTATCATCATCCTCATCATCCTGGTCTATTGGTGTTTGATAAATTAAGCATTTCTTTGGACTGCTGAAGAAACCTTGACCTCATTCACCTACCTCCACTCCACCCGACTGGTCTCTGTTTCTACCACCAGCAGGCTCCACCTCCCAGCTAATCAGGATCAGCAGCCATGAAGGAGCCCCAGCAAGAGGCTCCGGAGATCTCCGTCACTGACCCAGACATCAAGCTGTAATTGGGGCACAAATACCAAACCGCTTGCAGGTGCTTGGAGCTAAAGTAACCTTCTGAGGAGAGGCCTGTGAGGGAAATTGGTATGACAGAAGAGGAGTGAAAAGCAAGACATTGGAGCAACAGAATTCACTTCTTTTTTTGTTGTTGTGTTTAATTTTTGTTAAACCATCCCTCATATGTTGGAGCATTTGGCGGAAGACGACACAAAACAAAGCATACGGGACAGAAACTTGGAAGTAGAAGATTTCTCTCACAGATTTCTGTGAGGTAAGTGCGACAGTGGAACGTGGGTTAAGAATTAGTCTGCAGCCAGGCCACAGTGCGGCTGCTCTCCTGTAGATTTAGAATAAAGCCTCTTATTGCTCACTCTGTCCCGGGCCAGCATTTAATCAGCTGTTCTGTTGCCTTAAAGCAATAGTTTGTAATTAATTAACCGCTAAAAGATTCATATATTAACGAATGCATCAGGGGCAAGTTTTTCAGACTGTCAGGTATTTTACGGTATTTCATACTAAAAAAAATACAATATAGGTTCCCTTCTGTTATATTTACCCTATTAAAATAACGATCAAGTCATCCCAGTCGTTTTAATAACTCGATCACCGGATGAGCCAGGCTGCCGCAGGTTTTTAGGGTTTTTTGCTGAAGTGCATATATGCATATATATGGCACATATTTATTTATGCTACAGAAATTGACCCAAGGGCCCTTTTAAATATCACAATAGTGACCTAGTAATAGCAATATAAAAATCATCTTTAGATTTTATGGCAACTTTGTACATTCCTATGAAATAAGTCCTCTGCATTTAACCCTTTATGAAGTAGTGGACCAGGATGCCAAGGGAGGATTCTGGGGCTAAAGGTCTTGCTTATGGGGCCCAAGGGACAGTCTGAGCGAATTAAACCAAATAAATTTTCAATTACCCACCTCTAGGCCAGCCCTCCCCAAGAATTATTTAATCTAATCCTTTGTTATACAGTTACTGTGTTTGTGTAGAACTCTGAATTACTGACTGAATTATTTATTGATTCAGGTAAGAGTTATTTGTCCACTTAGGTACAGAAATATTTCATCTCTGTTTTGAAACATTATCATTAAGTATAGAAAAAAAAAAATATGGTGACATCCAGTAGTCTAGTTATAAAAAAATAAAATATTCATGGCATGATTGTCACATGTCAGGTACGTCGGTCATTGACCGTGACTAAGGCACCTTAGAGTTGAACTGCAGTCCTTCTCTGGACTGGCATGGCTAGCACTGCCCCTACATAGTTAGCTTGGCTATCACTGCCCCTACAGAGTTAGCACGGCTATCACTGCCCCTAC